TTTATGATGAAGCTCTGTTTTAAATATAATTTATCATTTAATTTTTAATTTCGAATATATATATATATATATACTTCATACAGAAATAATTTCTTAATAAAAATATCACTACATATTTGTATGATAATTTCGATGTTATTAAGAAGTATCATTATGACACTTTCATCACTTGTCATGATACCCATGTCTGAGCACGTGAAATATCAGCTCTATAATTCATAAATTTTAATCGAGAATAATTTGGAAACTATATCCTCGATTTTGTATTAGGATTTTTTCTTGCTTCCAAAGAATCCATTCTTAATAAGAAATGCGGTTTTAGTATATACCCTATACACTGTTAAATTTATAGTGTCAAATTTAACTTAACGTGAATCGCCACTGCTCTTATTAAATATATTGTTATTTTATACTAAAACAATGGTTATATTTGACAATATCAATTTAACACTATATAGTGTCAAATTGATATTGTCAATGATATATTGACAATAATAATATAGTGTTAAATTTAACTATCGTTTTGATAAAAAATAGCGATATATTTAGTAGGAGCAGTCCCAGTCAAAAATAATTTCTCGAAAAGACGTCATTTCGATGTCGAAAATAAAAGTCGAAAGTTTTTTAGAAATTTCTATTGATTTCGATGGATTTTTGGCTCCAATTTCGATTAATTTTCAAGTTGGAAATAAAATCTTAATTGATCTAGTCAGCATAAAAATATACTACTAGTGCCACTAATGCAATAAGTAAATTCGACAATTAGTGTTACTAATAGCGTAATAGTAGTGGAGAAAATTCATTAAGGTTTCATTGAAATTTTATTGTGAAAATAAGTATTATTGATTAATAAGTATTATTGATATTTCAAAGAATACACGACAAAATTATAATAAAAAAAAATTTATTTTATGAATTGAGAATTAATTTTATGATGCACTCATGTGCGGTCATCCATTCGAATCCGAACCATCACTTACCATACTTCATTTCTGTGATCATACAGGAAACTACTCCTCCGAAGAACCATGAACACTTATAATGCTAATGGATGTATTGTAACATATCTTCAAAGATGTTGTAAAAGAGATGGAACATATAAAAAAAATATAATTAATGTTAAATATAGTAGTAATGTACAAATGATGATACGTATGATAATTTGTTTTTAATAATACTATTGTAAAATATTATTTTTATTAGTTGAAA